CTACAGGCCTCCATAAGACACAGGAGCTGGTGCAAGACAGAAGACTGCAGTAGCCGCTCACGCGAAGTTAAAACATCCATCCCCGGTTGCATTTCCACTTAAGCAAGATCCTGTGCAACTGAGTTCAAAGCATGTTAATGTACACCAGGAGGAAAATGCCAGGTGTTGCATGAGATCTTGCGCAAACGGAACTGCTCCTAGTTGGTTTTCGTTTCCGCTTCCACATTGCCGGATCCAAGCCGAAGAAGTTAACCCAATCCCACACAAAAGCTCCAGAGGGTTCAAGGAGGTGAGTCATGGCACACATTTAAGACCAGCGCCCGATTCCGTAGCACCACAAGAGACCCTTTACTTTGGGACTCAGGGTGGCCGAAAAAAATAAATAAAGTGTAGCCAGTTTAAGAAAAATATCTGATGTGTCAAACTACCATCTCTTCAAACTGTATTATCTAAACAACATACAGCTAGATACAATTTGAAAACTAATATAACCTTTCAGAGACCACAGAAGAATGTGTGGCTTAGTGGTTAAGTGCGCAGACTTTAATCTGGGAGAACTGGGCTTGATTCCCCACTCCTCCACTTGCAGCTGCCGGATGACCTTGGGCAAGCCATAGTTCTGGCACAGCTGTTCTCTCAAGGACAGTTCTGGAAAGAGCTCTGTCAGCCCCACCTACCTCACAGGCTGTCTGTTGGGGGGAGGGGAAGGGAAAGGGAAAGGAGTTTGTAAGCCGCTGAGACTCCCTTGGGTAGTGAAGGGTGGGGTATAAATCTAATCTCCTCTTCTTCTTCTTATATGCACAAGGTTCCAGGTTCAACCCCTACCATTCCAACCTCCAGTAGCAAGGAAGGGTTTGTAGCAAAAGGGTGAACAAAGAATTCCCGGGGGAGGAGGTGGGAACTCTCCTAGGAGTCTCACATAAACTTCTTCATTTCCTGAAACTAGACTCAAGGGGGTAGCTGCGTTGGTCTGAAGCAGCAGAAGAAAGTGTGAGTCCAGTGGCACCTTTAAGACCAAGAAAAGTTTTATTCGAGGTATAAGCTATCGTGTGCATGCTTGTATCTGAAGAAGTGTGTGTGTACATGAAAGCTTACACCGTGAATAAAACTTTGGTTGGTCTTAAAGGAGTCACTGGACTCAAAACTCTGTTCTGCCTCTTCATTTCCTGTTTGTGGTCCTTCCGAGCATGCATGTCAAGAGCCACAGGGTCAGATGAGACATTATGAAGAACTAGAATTCTGGGCTGTACCAACTGAGATGGCAAGTGCAGGTGTGGGGGTGGGGAGGGGTGATCCTATTTGTGAATGCGCCTCCACATACATTACCTTGTTCTTCTTCCCGTCTACTTCAAACACCGAAATGGAGCCCTTGCGGTAAATCTCGTCCCCAGGAGGATGCTTCCAGACGCACTTGGCCTACGGAGAGCAATGGATAATAATAATTAATTATCGTATGGCATTGTGTGTAGAATTGCCAGAAGATCCTAAGATGGCCTGGCGGCCAGAAGTTCTAGCTCTTTTAGCGTTATGCACCACTAGGTGGTGAGCTAGACTTGATTTCAAGGCAAGAGACGTTTCAGAGGTGGTCTGCCATGGCCTGTTTCTGTGTCATGGCCCTGGTCTTCCTTGGAGGTCTCCCATCCAGATACTAGCCAGGGCTGACCCTGCTTAGCTTCCGAGATCTGACGGGATTGGCCTAGCCTGGGCTATCCAGGTCAGGGAGAGCAATGGATAAGCATTGTGACAGTTGCTGGATTTAACGGGTGGCTTGGGAAGCACAAAGAGGGGACAGGGAAACTATCTCAGGGTGTATGTGTGGGGGCAGTCACGTGTTTCTGATCCTGTCCTGTCCACTGGCCATGTTGCTCTTTGTTTGCTTGCTTGCTCAGGAGAGGGAAAGGTGGCATGCCCTATCTCTGTGCGCTGCCGACCAATTTATATCGGTGTGACTAAGCGCCCCTCATCTGTGGTAGCCGATCTAGATTAAACACCACCCTGCCAGTAGGTAAACAGCCTGGTGTGGTGATCACTCAGTGGCTCGGGAGCCACCTGATTGCTCGTTGGCGTCCCAGCTGCGGCTCTTCTGAGCAGTGCTGCTCAACATGGCTCCGTCCCCACATTTCAGGAAAACAGATAAGGCCTTGGTGGTTGGCAGACGGCTCCCACCTTGATGCAGGCGTAGCCGTTGGGACGGGAGGATGAGGAAGCCGTGAGACCCCCTGGAGCACAGGCCTTTGGCCAGGGAGGGAAGCAAAGGGCCAGTTTGGTGTAGTGGTTAAGTGCGCGGACTCTTATCTGGGAGAACCGGGTTTGATTCCCCACTCCTCCACTTGCACCTGCTGATGTGACCTTGGGCAAGCCATAGTTCTGGCACAGCTGTTCTTGAAAAAGAGCAGTTTCTGTCAGAGCTCTCAGCCCCAGCTACCTCACAGGGTGTCTGTTGTGGGGAGGGGAAGGGAAAGTAGATCGTAAGCCGCTCTGAGACGCCTTTGGGTAGTGAAGGGCGGGGTATAAATCCAGTCTCTTCTCTTCTTCTTCTTCTCTCCACAAGGCCTCCCCACCCTCCTCTGCACCCTCTTTCCCAGGCACCTCTTTCCCAGGCACCTGCAGAGTGGCTGTACTCCCCTTTCTCCATGAGCAGCTTCCTCTCTTCCAGGAGCCTCATCCATCATTCTGAGGACAGAGCGAGAAGGAAGAGTGGGAAGCCCTTCCCCTCCCTCCCAATACAGAAGGACCAGCTAAACTTCAGTGGTACTATGGAGTGAGTCGCCTGGCCTAAGATCTGGGAGACCCAGGTTCGAATCTCCACTCTGCCACAGAAGCTGGCTGGGTGACTCTGGGCCCGTCGCGCACGCGCGCTCTCTCTCAGCCTAACCTACAGTCATTGTGAAAACAAAACGGAGGGAGGCAGACTTACGCTGTAAGCTCTCACCGGTGGGGGGGGGAGAGCAAGTATCAATTATCTAAACAAAAAGAAACACTAAGATCTGTAAGACTCAGGTTCAAAGCCTCAGTTGGCCAAGGAGATCTGAGGCCAGTCCCTTTCTCACAGTCCACTTCACAGGATTGTTGCGAGGATAACGTGGGCGGGAGGAACCTCAATGGCACCCTGAGCTCTGTGGAGGAAGTGCGGGACAGAACAGTGCAAGAAAACTCCGTAAGAGAAGGCAGCGAGTTCAGATCGCTGAGTAGACAGTGACCCGGAAGCCCATCGCTTTCTTTGTGTGGTTTTTTTTTTATTTTCCCAGAATGGGTCAGGTGCATATCATTACTTTATACAGGCCTTTTGCTCCGGAGCATCCAGTTGCCTCTCTTACTGAGTGGTGAAAATAGTCAAAACGTTCTCACAGGCCTGGTATCTGCCTCCGGGAAAATATTTTCCACTCCTGTTTTTAAGAGTAGCCACTGCTTCTCTCTTTTTTTGGTCTTTTTGCATTTGTGTGTGCATGTGTGCCCATGTCTGGAAGTCCTGGTGACCCCTGGCAACTCCTACAGGGGCATGGAGGACGTTCAGAGAAGTGGTCCGGAGAAGGGGCCTGCCTCTGCCTCCCAGCCCTGGTATTCCTTGGAGGTCTCCCATCCAAATACTCACCAGGGTCAGCCCTGCTTAGCTTCCAAGATCTGATGAGATCGAGCTTGCCTGGGCTATCCAGGTCAGGGCAGAGTAGCCTTTGATCAGAAATCTCACCATACAGAAATATATACATGAGTTGCCTTATAATGAATCTGTCCATTGGTTGATCAAGGTCAGTAGTCTACTCAGAGAGCCAGCAGCTCTCCTGGGTCTCAGGAAGAAGCCTTTCACTTCCCTGATTATCTGAGCCTTTCGACTGGGGATGATCGTGATTGGACTTGGGACATTCTGCATGCCCAGCGAGGGCTCTGCCACTGAGCCTCAGCCCCTCCCACCATCAGTCTTCTCATAGCTGGGCTCCACCTTTAGCTCAAGCATGGCACCCACTTTGAAGGGCTTTTACCATACTATGCATTGGGTGGTAATGCTGCTGATGCAACTTGCTCGAGCTCAAGCTGAGAACCACTTGCAAGTCCTGATCCACCAGGAAAAAGATCGAAGGCCTGGAACTTATCTACAACTGGGGGCTAGGGCAGGGGGAGTGAGCTGTATGTCAGCTGTGGCCAATGGGCTGGTGGTGGAGATCTGTTTGTCATCATCATTATTATTAATCAAATTTATATCCTGCTCCTTCTCAGGACTCGGGGCGGCTAACTGCATATAAAATACACCCGATAAAAACAATACAAAAATACAACAATAAACTTTAAACTTTAAAACTATAAAATGATTAAAAATCTATCTGCTATCAGGCAGGGTAGGATGCATGGATGGCGAAGACACAGCTCCCTGGCAGATCACAATCACCCAAAGGCGGCCCGAAAAAGAGCAGCCTTGCATGTGCTGCGGAACGTAGGGAGGTCCCACAGGGCATGCACCTCTTCAGGCAGCTGGTTCCAGAGGATGGGGGCCACCACTAAGAAGGCCCTCGCCCTTGTTGACACAAGGCAGACACCTCGTGGACCAGGGACCTTCAATAAGTGCTGAGATGAAGATCAGAGAAGATGGGGAGGATCATGTCGGGAGAGGTGGTCCCAAAGATTTGAGGGTCCCCGGCCAGTTTAGTAAACTGTGACCATTTCAGGAGCCTGGCACAGGATGAGTCAGACTTGCGGATTCTCAGGTAGCCAGCCTAGACATGCATGTGCAATTAAGCATGATGTCGCTGGGGACAGTCAACTAGCAACGAGCTTCCTGGAAAGAGGAGGTGAACTGGCCTCGGTTCAAAGTGCACCAACTCCCCCCGTCAACCTCTTCTAGAGTCAGCAGGAGATCTGCTGTAGGAAGCGGCTCTGGAAGCGGAACACGGAACAGCTAGAGGGCATCGATGTGAACTGAGCAGTCGTCATTCCAGACCGAGACTGATCAGTGATGCCAATTTAGCAGTTTACGCCACCAGTTTAAAGGTCAGGGTGGTCTGACCTGGGTGGCCCAGGCAAGTCCCGTCTCCTCCCTGCTAGGTCTGCCGACAGAACGTGAGGAAAATGTCCTGTCCCTTTAACAGAGGTCCAATGTGGGGAAATGTGCCATGTAAGATTTTCCGCCTGGCAAACAAGTCGGCAGCCCTACCGACAGACACCCTGCCTGCCCGCTGACCCTTGGCCTGAGGCCCACTGGCAGCCCCATAAGAAGTCGCAGCCAGCCTGCCCTGTAGCACAGTAAAATGGGGATGGAGAGAGGCACCCTTCCCAGCTGGGACAAATGAGAAGAAAGTCAGCCCGAGCACATATGAAGGGGTGTGTGTGGAATTTTTAAGAAATGGCACGCCACCTCTATCTACCCACTTCTAGCATCACCCTCAGCCCAGCTGCACCTTTCTAAGTTCACCAAAGTCAATGGGTCTAAAAAGGTATAGCTCTGATTAGTATTGCACCAGAAGTGGCCACCGGTTGCTCCTTCTCATCCACAGCCCGGGCATCTGCTCCTTGGGAACAATGCTGGCCTACCTCGCAAAGCGTGAAGAAGTACTTCCTTTTATCCGTTCTAACCCGACTGCTCAGCAATTTCATGGAGTGCCCACGGGTTCTTGTATTGTGAGAAAGGGAGAAAAGTACCTCTTTCTCTACCTGCTCTTTCCCATGCATAATCTTATAAACCTCAATCATGTCACCCCTCAGTCATCGTTTCTCCAAGCTAAAGAGCCCTAAGCGCCTTAACCTTTCCTCATAGGGAAAGTGTTCCAACCCCTTTATCATTCGAGTTGCCCTTTTCTGCACTTTTTCCAAAGCTATAATATCCTTTTTAAGGTGTGGAGACCAGAATTGCACACAGTATTCCAAATGAGGTCACACCATTGATTTATATAGGGGCATAGTCATAGTATATTGGGGGGGGGACAGATGTTCAAAACCACTGACCCGAATGTAGCTTTGTACCAGAGTAGGTAGGTCACCTGGTCACTGGTTCCATCCCACCCCCTTGCTTCAGCTGCCTTTGTGATTAGGTCCAGCTGGTGGACATCAGGGAGCAGAAAAGAAGCAGACTGTGCAGGCAACAGAATTTGTGTTGGAACCACACGAAACTCTACTGTGATGTCTGATGGCAATGCTAAAGAACCCAACCTACACCCGAGAGCAGAAGACCGTGCCAAAGGCGGCCAGAAGATTTGATAGCCACGTGGTGCAGTGGTTAGAGTATCTTAGCTCTGAGAAACCTAGCTCAGAATCCCTCCTCTGCCATAGGAGCTTGCCAGGTACCCCTAAACCAGTCAGTATCTCTCACTCTAACCTCCCTACGGGATTATGGTTGTGAGGATAAAAATGGAGGAGGAGAGGACAATGTAAGCCCACCTGGGCTCCCATTAGAGAGAAGAGCAGGCTATCATAGAATCACAGAGCTGGAAGGGGCCATACAGACCATCTAGTCCAACCCCTGCCCAATGCAGGACCAGCCTAAAGCATCTCTGGCAAATATTCATCCAGCCTCTTCTTGAAAGCTGTCAGTGAAGGGGAGCTCACCACCTCCCTAGGCAGCTGATTCCACCTTTGAGCCACTCTGACCGTGGAAAAGTTTTTCCTGATACCCAGCCAATACCTTTCTGCATGTAATTTAAACCCGCTGCTTCGGGTCCCGTCCTCCGCTGCCAACTGGAACTGGTTATAAATATCATAGTAAAAAAAAATAGTTTCTTCAGCTGCAGTGAGTTTTCCACAATGCATCTCTTGGGCCAAGTCCTCCACTATAAGAGAGTACAACGTTGCAGTAGTATAGCCTAACGTCTAACCATGGGAACTGCAGTTCAGCAAGCAAGGTTAGAGAGCTCCACCAGAAAGTGTCTCCTCACCAACCCGTGCTGCCTGTGGGAAGCCCTGACAACCAAAGTGGTTTTTAAAAGGTTTGCAGAATGGAGGTTTTATCTTAAAAAGGGTGCCAAGGCTGACATGGTTTTACCCCAAAACAATGTCTTCCTCCGAATCCACCATAAGAAAGGTTACCTTGCCCATGATGATCCTTCCACATGGGCCTGCGAAGCAGGAAACCACCAGTTCTGAAAACAACGCCGGCCATTCTTTCTCAGCTAAAAAGCCATTTTTTCCCCATTCTGCCCGATGACCAGCCAGAGCACAGATCGGGTGCTGGCTGCTACCAGGAGTGGAAATCAGCAGAGTTAACAACCTGCCGCTTCCAGCAGGCAGCTTCTCTTTTCCTTCTCAGAAGCCAAGGGGAGCAAGTAGGTGGGCCCTGTTCCTGCCAAGATTCGTCTGTTTCCATTTTCCTGCCAAAGTACTTGGGAACGAAAGGAAGGGAAACCTGGAGTCACCCAAAGAAAGTGAGTCACTCTTAAGTCCCCCAGTGAAAAACCAAAGGAAACTAAGCAATGGATTCTTAAAGGCCAACCAATTAGGGTGCTTGCACGCGAAAGCTTATACCTTGAATTAGACTTTGATGGTCTTAAAGGCGCCAATGGACCCAAACTTCACTCTGCTGCTTCAGACCAACACGGCTACCCACCTGAACCAATTAGTGGCAAATCAGGGGTCCCTGAATTCAGCTGGACTGGGTACTTCAGGGGTCCCCAACGTGGCATTCATGGGTACCACAGTGCCCGTCAACACCCTTTTTGGCGACCACCAAGTGCTTACAGAAAATGGGCAGGGCCAGGTGGCCTTTCCCCAGCAGGGTTTCTGACTGGCTGTGCAGACTGGCTGTGCAGATTAAGAGGCATCTTGTGAAGCAGAGCCTCTGCCTGAAATGTCGAGGAGTTGTCGCTAGTTCTGCGTAACCTTGCTGCTTGGCATTTTGTGGCTGGCTTTGCCTCCTGCGGCGGCCATTTTGTGGCGGCAACCCACCACCCCGTCCCAGAATTCCAAAGGTTCCCACAAGCTCAAAAGGGCTAGGGACCCCTAGTGTACTTCAAGGTTTCCCTCCAGCAGTTGAGGGAAACAGAGACGCCAGAGGTGGATATGTTTTTAAGAGCCTTTGCACCTGATCGTATCAAGGGGAGAGGCAAGACGGCAACGTTGCCTCCCTCAGGTTGTCAGGACCAGCTGCTCTTTGGCTCTAGCCGACTCCCTGGCCCAAACCATCTCCCCTGGTTCTGTTATCTAAATGTCTTACGAAAGAGTCTGTTCCTTAAAGGGACTCCATGACAGGCGGAGCGCGGAAACTGATCCTTGCAGTGCAAGAGCAAATGAGAGCAGTGCCCTGAGCAGGCAAGAGGACTTGGGTACTGGGAAAGAACTCAGAGCTTGACAGGGAGAGCTTAAGTTGGTTAGGTTTTTGAAGCGTCAGAAGCTGTGAGGGAGAAGGAAGGGTAAGGTTAGCAGGCGCGTGAATTAAAGATGTGGGGAAGGATCTCATTTTGCTTAAAGTCCCTTGTCTGGGCAATGTGTTAAAAAGGGTGTTACAGCATTCCAGCAGAGTTTGCCAGGTCTACGGTGTAACTAAGCAGCAGCACAGTAAGGTATTTTATAAACCTGCCCAAGAAAGAGTTTTTACTTTAAGCATGTATTGTTTGAAACCTAACGTTCCACAACCCCAGATGATAAATATATGGCTCAGTTGTAAGTTTCCTTCGGGGGGGTGGGGGGAGGACACACAACGACTTTGTTCTTGTTCAATTTTAAAGAGCAAACCCTTTTGTTTCTGTCAGCTGACCAAATTATCCTTCTGTTATCAATAAAGGTCCATATTGTATAACCTCAAACCTTTTTACAGTCCCCCTGGGAAACCTGGTTCAACAGAAAAGGTGGGAAATTGAGACAGGAAAAATCCTGCAGACGCGTTTTCCTCCTCCCTACGCTGACCCTTTTCACAACTGAATCGCGTCCCCTAACCATTATTTCAAGCTGTACAGTGCCTTGAGTAGCAGACAGGCAGGGTGTGTGTGTGTGTGTGATGAAATAAATATTGTGGCCTTGGACAAATTCAAGATAGCTAAAATGTCCCTTGGCATTAAAGGACCTTGAGAGAATAGAGAAACACTTGAACCAGTGTTCCCTCTAAGCTGAGTCAGTGTGAGCTAGCTCAGTTTTTTAGCCTCCAGCTCACAGATTTTTGTCTCGGCTCAGGAAGGAAGGCTCCAGAGCAAACTGATTTATGCAGTAGCCAAATCGCTCGCTCATTGCAGTTTCTTGCTTTCGAACTGCTAGGTTGGCAGGAGCTGGAACCATAGACGGGAGCTCACTCCGTCATGTGGCAACTCGGGTCTTGAACTGCTGAACTACTGACCTTCCACAGCCTGCAGTTCAGCATCTTAACCACTTGAGCCACCGCAGCTCCACTTTAAATGTATGATTGCTTTAATCTGTTTTAAAATGTTTTAAATGCTTTATGTAGACTAGGTACATCGTACCAACCATTGTAAACCGCCCTGAGCCCATTCGCAGGGAGGGTGGGGTACAAATACAATAAATAAATAAATAAATGATAAAAAGACAAAATTGCAACATGCCTCCTTACTTTGCCCAAGATGAACCTAGAACTAATTCCCACTCATGACCACTCTGTTCTGTGGATGACAACAGACACATACAAAACCATACGACCTCCCTGACCTAAAAGTGCAGACCTGTAGATAACAAAGGGGATGCTGGCTGCTTGAATGTGTGCGCTTGCATTCAAGAGCCACAAGGGGAGATCCCACAGGGTCTCACCAACTCTTCGTTTAGCTCCCACGTAAGGTAGATTTGAATCTGATTTGTAACACTCTGTTGCAAGGGTCAGACACACTGTGTGACAAGCCCTTTTGGGACTGTCCCAATTCAAGACTGCAGTGGGAGATCTCTTCCCAGGCTAGCCAGTCTGCTGTAATGGTCAAGAGCGGCAGACTCTAATCTGAAGAACCAGGATTGATTCCCCACTCCTCCACATGCAGCCAGCTGGGTGACCTTGGGTCAGTCACAGTTCTCTCAGAGCTCTCTCAGCCCCACCTACCTCACAGGGGGTCTGTTGTGGGGAGAGGACGGGAAGAGGATTGTAAACCTCTCTTGAGACTCCGAGTGAAGGGTGAGGTATAAATCCAACTCTTCTTCTTCATCAGATCTCAGAAGCTAAGCAGGGTCAGCCCTGGTTAGTATTCGAATGGGAGCCAACCAAGGAAGTCCAGGGTTGCTATGCAGAGGCAGGCAAAGGCAAACCACCTGTGTTTGTCTCTTCCTCTGAAAACCCTACGGGGTCGCTGTATGTCGGCTGTGACTTGTCAACCTTAATTACAACAATAATAAAAACTTTCCGCACATGAATATCTAGCTCATGAAGGAGAAGGGTTTTAGATTTACCAGGTCAGACAGAAGGCGGCTTTCTTTCTTTTTTTAAAAGACTAGAAAGAATTTAAGCACGCAGACTCGCAATATTATGCCTAACCGGCATGCCCGGTTTTGTACTCTGCAGTTGGCCCCAGAAGAAAATGTGTGTGTGAAGCTGATACCCTTGCAATTATTAAGCTTAATGCATGAGTTTGCCTGACAGGAAGTGACTGGAAGTGCTTACCATGTGCCTGCGTAGTATCGTCTGGCTCTTCATGTACTTGAGGCAGAACTCGCACATGTAGAGACGCCCCAGCCGTGCGTACTCCTCCGGGTAGGGAGAATGGTACCAGGTGTCCAGCTCATAGCGGCCGAAGGCAATGGTCTTAATCATGTTGCTGCCTTCAAAACTGGAATCTGTGTCCTGGGAATGAAAATTAAGGAAAAAAGACATTTCTAGGGATTTGCTTATCTCACACATTCTTCCTCCCGGCTCAAAGAGAAGCAAGGATCTATCGAACACATCAACCACTGGCCCCATCCACACATATTTAACCCCGAATGTGAGCATTTTTTGTAAAGCTTTAATGGCTAGAAGCTTGCCTTTTCAAGTAAAAACAAAGCTGAAAATGGTCAAGAAGTTGAATTCGGAATACGACACCTTAGTGTGGGTAAATTGCATGCAAAGATGTTCCCTACTGGTTCTACAGTTGCAAAGCTACCCTCCCTTCCTTCAAATCGTGCCCTGTGAGGGAGAGGCAAGAACAGTTACAATGGTATTATCTGTTTAAATAAATAAAATAAATAAAACTCAATGGTATGACCGAGATGTGTGTGTGTGTGTGTGTATTTAGCATCTTATTTTTGTTAAAGGGGAAAGGGGTGTATCACGGAGGTACCTCTCTTTTATTTTGTGTGGTTAGGTGTGATGTAGTTTTAAATTTTTTGTTTCTTTCACTCAAAGTATCTAACGCTGCCACCACAGGAGTTTAATTCCAGTCTTTTATTACCCTTTCCCACAGTATTGTGCCCGAGCTCCAAGGCTCCTTTGTTGGACTATGTGGTTCTGAGGATAAGACTCTTATATTTTAAACAGCTTATGACTCTGTGTTAACAATAAACAAGATAAAACTTTATTGGTAAAAGAAGTGTATTGGTCACAAGATGTTTTGTTAAGCTGCTCGGTAAAATCTTTCCCTTTTTACTCAGGTCTCTGTCAGCTTTTCCCCGCACACTCTTAAAACATTCTGACTATATTAGATTTTGCCTAACATGCCCCCTTAAGTATATTTCCTTCCTCCTTTAGAATCTTAATGCCTTTTGCAGCACTTCTATATGATTCTAATTAGAAGACTGCTTCTCAGACGCTGCGTGGAGTGACCACAACTGACAGCTGCTGACTTCAGACTGAACACTCTGCCTTCTCTCTCTCCACACACACACCTCCTAGCTCCGCCCACACACTCTCAGTCACCAATCACCTCACTCCCTCTTCTCCCTCTTTCACCCCCTTGTTCTTCTGACACTGACCAGCCATTTAAAGAAACACACACATATAACTTGAAATCATTACAGTTGCCTGTGGCAAACTAGGATGCTGAGCTCAGTAGTCGGGCAAGGAATATGCTTACATAAACACCCTGACACCAGAGGGGCTATCTCCTTATGCAGCTGGGATCATGAGCAGCAGCAAGGAGAGGAAATATGGAAGCCTGATGGGCCAGCGATGCTTTCCCTCCCCACATCTTGAGCTGTACGGATGGCCAACATGCTTTTAAAAAATGAACTCCGAAACAAATTGGGGGGGGGGTCACCCACCCTTCACACAAAACCTCCTTTGCCAAAATCAAGTGGGATCGGCCCCTTGGTCCGGTAGACATAAAGCTAGTGTCAAGCTCCCTTTAAGAAAATGGATTTTAGAGACCGCAGCCCGCTCTCAAGAGTCCTCCGAGGTGAACGGTGTTCGATTCTCTACCACAGCAGATCCCTTTGAAGATAATTTAAACCTCTCCATTTGCTTGATCGGTATTCTCCGGCAGAAGTGCCTCTGATCTCTCCTTGAAGCTGCAGCCCCAGGGTGCGCCACGGAAAGTGTGCATTGAGCGAGCTCTAAGCAGACAGGAAAACAGATTCGCTCCTTTGCCTCAGGACTTCTGGCAATCTGTGAGCTGGGAGATGGGCAGTGTCAGCCTGCACCCCGGGCAAACACTTGGGATGCCTGACACCTCCTTATGCTGCTCAGATCGAGACGCGGCCAGGCTTATTCTGAGCGAAAGCATCACCACGGAGAAACTGACACTCATCTTGCGCGCGTGCGCTCGGCCTCTTTTCAGCACGAGCCCTGAGGCCACAGAGGCTGAGAACAGCTTTCTTCGCCTCTGAACAGCAGCCAAGTAGTGTTGGGGTCGCAGGGAGGGGGGGGGGATTCTCTTTGTACAATTTGGCTTCTGAAGGTTCTCAGGGTCAAGCTGCATGATGTGTGGTGATTCTTTCCGGTGCTTTTTGTATTTATTTACCTTTAAAAAAAAACAAACCCTAGGAGCTGGGGACAGCTGCATCAGAGCGGACGAAGGGCACGTAGAGGAAACCTGATTATTTCCTTCCCACTCCTTTGCAGTCACCCCCCCCCCCACATTCGAAATTATGCTGCTGAAGATGCTTTTTCACCCACCAGGAAAACACCCAGAATCCTGTACCTTTCTCCGGTGGGGAAGGGGGGGATTTTTTTCCTACGCAGCATATTTTTGAGGTAGAGTTTGCTCCAGGTTCCTTTCGGTTTACCTCTTTAACAGGCTCCCCAGGAATTCTTGAACTTGCATCTCAAGACTGGTACCACAGTTTAAAAGTTATGCTCCAGACAACAACTGGGGGGAGGCTGGGGGGGGGTGTCCTTTGGCAAATCCTGTCACCCCGGAGATTAACAATCCAAGCCCTTGGCTACATGGGTGGCTCAGGTTTCTTTTAATTTGCAAATCTTTCACATGAGATGGAGGGGTCCCATTTTCAATTGCCCCTTGATTGTGGAACGGTGTTATGTTTTCCGTGTAGTGCCTTACAGCACTTCTTTCCAAGCTTGGTCTCACTCAGTGTGGCTTCTGTGCTGCTCGAAATATTTTAAAAGCTCTAGGTGCACCCAAGATGTTTCTAAGTAAACAACTCCCCACCAAGTGGCACATCATGGGTCCTATGATGTCATCAGGTTATCTTGTGATTCTCTGAGGTGCCCGAAGGCAACTGGCTAAAAAAGTTCCCCAACTTGTCCTTTGTTGGAACAACACACACTCTCACAAGTGGTAAGTTCCCCAAGATGTCAGTTTAGCTAACCAGATAGGGAAGCGAAATTGAATTCACTGGGTGATCAGTTTGGCAGGCGGGAAACCTGAGGAAGGGACAAAAGAGCCACATGGACAGACCTAGGAGGAGATGGGAGTGAGGAGGACCAAAGTGTGGCCCTGAGCAGCAGACGGACCCCAGCGTGCTGCCCTTCCACACGAGAATCCTAGCCTCTGTTCTACTGCTGTTCCTTTGCACTAAATTCCCCATTTTCCCGCCATCCTTTTGCTTAACTGTTCACTCCTAATATACTTCACTTTCAATTCACTCTGTTTTCAAAATGTTGTTCCATCGCTGCATTGATGGGTGATGAAAGAGGGGCTGGAGCTGCAGGTGAGCAGAGAGAGCAGGCCTGCTCTGCCCCATTCCTTCTCATACATGGGGGGGTCTGTGTACGGTCCATACGGGACCTCTACCTTTCCTGTGGCTCTGCCCCTTCCCCTCCCTGTCCTCCCCTCAATGCTCTCTCAGGCTGGGGAACGCCCATCGCTCAATAATTCCAGCATCAGTTGCCTGCTTCTCCACTCTTCTCTATCTTAACATTCAACTCCATGCAAAAACTTGGACGGCAGAGACCTTTACTGGAAGGAACCCACCCATTTGCACATGACATCAGGGCCTTGCAGGACCTTTTACAGTTCCGCAGGGCCTGTAAAACCGAGCTCTTCCACCAGGCATTTGATTAAGGAGCCCCCACAACCATCTGAGGCCCTGGCCCCAATACCAATACCATCCATATCTGAATAACACCAATAATAGTATTAACATCATTGAATAGCCTGTGCCTTGCTGATACGACCCAGACCATGCGCTAATTGATTGTGGACTCCCGCCATGTTGTATGCCGTTGCTAGCACTTTATGTATTGTTTTTAGATTTAATTTATTGCAATTTTAACTGAGAAACTGTTTTGTCAGTAATAAATGTTGTGAGCCACCCTGAGCCTGCTGCGGCGGGGGGGGTGAGATAGAAGCCGAGATAAATAAATAAATAAATAAATAAATAAATAAATGATGGCTGTTACCTGTTTTAAGCTGTCTGGCGAGAACATAATATAGAGCCTGATGCGTTTTCCTTGCTCATGTCTACAAATGATGGCCGCTGCATTGATTCATACTCAAAAGCAGCAGGGTTTATTTCAGTCTGTGCCTAGAATATGAACTCGGGCATGTGGGTCTCCCAGAAAACACCCCCAATCCCCACTTACCAAGTCCTCGGAGGCTCTGGCTTGTGCTCGGCGGAAAAGCTCGAGGTCGTATTCACTGGTCAAGTTCTCTAAGAGGGGTTCTCGGGTGTTGCCGTAGGTTTGCCGGTGCTCCTGAAGCAACGATAAAAAGGACAACTTTAAAAAATATTGTTTCCCCTGGTCCTCAGACAAGCGGGTCTTCACCAGTCCTCCACCCTCTGGCCCTGCTCGCTGGGGGAAAGAAGGCTAATGAACGATACTGTGAACGGAGGCTGCTTTGGCAAAGAGGAGAGCCTCAGCCCGGGTCTAGGGACAGGAAGAGGAGCATGTTGCTCCGAGTGGGGAAATCAGGACTCAAATGGGTGTGAAATGTGTGCTCCATCTGGTGACTGACAGTAACCATGCTGCAGCGTTTTGCACTAACTGGAGTCTTCAAGGTGTCTCTAAGGGCAGACCCATGTAGAGTGTGTTATGGTAGTCTAGCTTCAAAGTAACCATAGCATGGAACTGTGTGGCCTGGTCAGTCAAGCCAAGGTGTGTGTGTGGGAGGGTATCTTCTCAGCTAAGAAGGCTGGTACAATGGCTTTTTTGCACTTGCATTAACTGGGTTCTCCAGTAAGAGCGCACAATCCAGAATAAACCCAAACTCTTAACTGAGACAGTGACTGCCAACTGTACACCACAGAAGAGCCCACCTGAGGATCTCAGACAGACTTCTACACTTCTGTCACTTTGCAGAGTATGAAAAGTTAATGTTCAAGAAGGCATTAAAAAAAAAAAAAAGACTGGCACTATGGTGGAATGAACAGGCCAGGAAGGTACTTGTATAACTGAACAGTTCAGTGCAATGTTTATTGTAGATATCACCTGTTTTTACGGTACTGGCTTCATCTTTTAATCCACTTTCTTGTATAGTTTATAGTATACCTATCTACCTTAGATAGTTTGCATGGCTCCCTAACGCTGTAATCCTGCTCCTACCACCCAGGTCATTGGCGGTCTTACACTGTCCGACTGCACTACTCATATCCTCTAATCCACCTTGATCCTCTGTGATAAAAACTATAAATAAATATAGACAGTCTTAGTACAACAGGTACAACAACCCTGTAAGGAAGATCAGTATCAGCTCTTCTGCAGAGGATGTGAGATGCCACGTGAAGCCACACGAGACCAGTGGATGCCCCATCTCCTTACTCCCAACTCCCTGGGGAGAATAAGAGGCGGAAGCGTCTGTACCATATATTTTTCCTTCTGCTCCTTTGTCAGCCCTGCATTCCTCTTCTTCCTCATCTCTGCTACTTTCTCTTTGTATCTCAGCTGCCTTTCAGTTGGTGCCTACGCAGGGAACAAAAAGAATATCAAAATGTGCACATGCAAAAAAGAGAGAAAAAGAGCTAGGCCAGTTCAGACCTGCTGGGAATCCCCCCCCCCCCTTCTGACCCAAAGCAGAGAAGATACTGGTCAAGAGAGCTGCTTCCTATGCCACAGCCTTCTGGCTTCGAGTGTCATATATGACGTGTTGCAAAAAAAATTTCTTCACTCCCAGTACATGGATCTGGCAGGTTAGGAGCCTGAACATTGCACTGGTGGTGTAAAAAGACTTGTAAGAACATAAAAAGAGCCCTGCTGGATCAGACCAATGGTCCACCTAGTCCAGCATCCTGTCTCACACAGTGAACAGAGGCCAAGGCCTTCTCAAGAACATAAGAAGAGCCCTTCTGGAGCAGACCAATAGTCCATCTGATCTGGCATCCTGTCTCACACAGTGGCCAACCAGGTCCTCTGAATGACCAACAACAGGGCATAGAAGCTGAGGCCGGCCCCTGATGTTGCCTCCCAGCACTGGTATTCGGAAGTTGGCTGCCTCTGAACATGGAGGTTCCCTTTCATCACCGTGGCTAGTAGCCACTGAGAGAACTATCCTCCATGAATCTAAATCCCCTTTTAAAGCTGTCTACTGTAGCCATCACTACATCTTCTGGCAGCTAATTTCACATTTGAATCACTTGTTGTGTAAAGACGTACTTATTTGTGAGCAATAAAACTTCATGGACAGTGCAGTACACACTTCTTATGCAATCCTCAAGGAGCCCTAATCTGGATGCTAAATTCCACTTGTGGAGGGTGGGGGCGCTGACTGTGATAAAGGACATCCTCACATGGTCAGAGAAACTTGCCTTGTCAGAAAAAGGCAGAGACAGCGAAACATGGTCCTGGGAGAGTTTTTAAATTCAGAGTGAGCATGCAAAGAAATAGTTCTGGGAAATGGATGCTCATCTAACCCATATATCTGCAACGCAGCCCAGAGACTTGCCTGGCACCCACGCTACTTTCTTTTAAGTGCCGGGCTAAAACATTCCGTTTTACCTAGGTGTTTGACTAAGGGGTTTGATCTAAGTGCCGGCTTGTTTCTTCATGGTTATGTTTTAACAGCTTTGTTTCCCCATCAGCTGTGTTTTAGCGGCTTTGTTTTATTCCCTTGACTGTAAGTTGCCTCGAATGGGTCTCGGGGAGAAGCAGTGCATACATTGTTTAAACCGGTCTATCAACCAATCCGTCGCAAGCCCTTTAATCACATGGCTCAGCATAAGCCAGCGGTCTTCCTGACCATCACACAGCACCGCAAGAGGACAGAATTCACCCTAGTCAATTAGTAACACCTCCCCCACTCCTCCAGTTTGGTACTACTGCATCACATCATGTGCTCAGTGTGCGTGGGGGGCTCTGCTGGGAGAAAGGGCTGACTCTCTCTCTCTCATGCGCACACACACAGAGCTTGAGGCATGCAGCTGAATGTGTGAACCGCCTCTGGTGAAGACGCACGGCAGCTGACCTGTGATTCCATTTCATACATCCACATCATATCTACGGCTGCCAGTGAATGAGGAGCATACCTCTTGCCAACTCAGCCTACGTATCCTACTATCACGCCACTGAGGTGGCACAAGGAGAGCCTACGGGTATTGTAACAATAGGACAGCTTTCTCAAAATGGTTTAGAAACAGACACACACATTAATTTATTTTGTGAGTCAAAGTGGGGGAGGGATGTATTTTTCCAGAACTCAACCCACTTAGGAATCTGTGCAGCTTGAAAAGCGGCTTTGTTTCAGACAGAATGATTTCTATACAAAACTGCTTTCAGTCATTTCAAAGAAGACTAAGATGCACCTCTCTGAAATTAATTGCCTAGTAGGGGTTTCAGTGTACCTGTATGAATGCCTTTTACCTGGTGTCTGGTGGCATGCCGGTTATTGTCATCTTGTCGGTGGGACAGCATCCTTTCCTCTACCTGTTTGTCACGGCTCTGCGCTCTCACCTGGAAATCCAGAAAGATCACCATAAATGGCCACGTGAGTTTTTACTCAGTTACTGAAGGCACGATGCCTTTAAAAGCAGAATTAAGGGGTGCCTTGAACGTCGGTGTCTTTAATTAAAAGACTTAAATAAAAAAAAGAAAGAAAGTGGGTGTGTTTGGAGTCTGCAAACGGAAAAGGGAATGCAACGTGGTTTACAACATTCTCCCCTTTCTCCATTTGATCCTCACAAACACCCTGCAAAGTAAGTTGGGCTGAAAGTGACTGGCCCAAATTCGCCCAGTAAACTGCCACAGCAGAGTGCAAATTTGAATCTGAGTCTTCCGAGTCCTAAACTGACACGCTAACCACTGCACCACACTGGTCCTCAGTAGGTGTCTGAATATGGCAGATTGCATAATACGTAATAATATACAATACGGCAGAGACCTCCCACCAGTGTTCCCTCTAAGCTGAGTTAGTGTGAGCTACCTCAGTTTTTTAGCCTCTGGCTCACATATTTTTGTCTTAGCTCAGGAAGGGTGGCTCCAGAGCAAACTAATTTATGCAGGAGCCAAATCGTTCACTATCAACTTTAATTACAAGAGCTCACAAAGTAGAATTCTTGCTCACAAGACTCCACAGCTTAGAGGGAGCATTGCCTCCCACCACCAGCCACTTTCCCCTGCAACTCCCTTGACTGTCTTTCCTCTCCCCATCTCCCCAGTGTACCTCTGGACTCCAGACCTGTGTTTGGCGTGGCCTCAAAAGCAGGAGGCTAAGAGACAAAGTTACCTTGCACTCATCAGCGGAAAGGTTATGATACAGCGGACATCCAGATATGGAGAAGTGTCTCTCGTGTTTCCCTGTAAGGTGTCCTGTGGGAGAGTCAGAAGGACAGGGCTGACAACAAGAAAAGACACATGGGGGGAAGGGGGAGTTTGGGTAAGGGCTATTTTTGGGCAGGAACGCTCAGGAACGGAGTTCCGGCTGGCTCCTGAGTTGGCCACACCCAGCAGGAACTCATTAGCATAATAGGCCACACCAACAGCAGAAACTCATTAGAATTGGCTACATTAAGGGTGTATAGCCTAACATGCAAAGGAGTTCCTGCTACAAAAAAACCTCTGGATTTTGACAACAAGGTAAACAGAAGAAGAAGAAAAAGGGGTGTGTGGCTGGATGACCACACTTCTGGTAACATGGGGGTGCGGCCTAATATGCTAATGTGCTGTCAAGGGTGTGGCCTAATATGCTAATGACTGTCTGCTGTTGGGTGTGGCCTATTATGCTAATGAGTTCCTGCTGGGCTTTTTCTACAAAAAAAGCCCTGGTAAGAGTCCATTCTGGTCATCGAAGTGCAGATAAGAGGGAAGGTTCCACCATACCTAGAGAATTGCAGCCAGGGGTGGGACACTTCATGTTGAAGTTGTAGCTTTCGTGGAAGCGACGGCGTTTGGGGCGATGAGACAGGTCACTCCCAGAATCCTTCATGGACATATCCTTAGCGATGCTCTCGTCATGAGACATGTTGGGACTGGAGATATCGATGTCGGACTCTGAGGATGGGGCGTTCCCAGTTGGTGTGCGGGGTGGGGACTCATCATGGTCAGCAGCATTTTTAGTGTCTGCAGAGAGTCAAATTTTGGCAAAAGAGGGCACATGGTTCTAAGAAAGGACAGAAGAAGGATTGACGTGATGGAAATAGCAGGCCTAAAAAAACATGTAGAGTAATGGGGGCATACTGTTGCTCTCCCCTGAACAAAACTCTGAGAGTAATATCAAATCAGGGGCAATGCCTAAAGGTAAAAAGTTGTAATTAGCTGAATGTACATTCAGGATGTGCCAGAGAGATGCAGTTTCGGGATGGAACTCATGTATTCGCTCCCATGAGGTCTCCATCCAGGAACCAGCCTAAGCAAACACTGTGCTGCCTAGTGTGAGCAAGGTCTGCTGCATCATAGGCCCTCCAACTGTATACCATAACTTGGAGTATTCTAAAGTGGAGGCAAGGCTTGACTTCATCTTAAGTAGCACCCATAATTGGGTGGAAGACATGGAGCTACTTGGAAGAACGATTACCACAATGTTACCAAATTTTATATATATACATATAAACTACAAACACGAAGGAGGCTGTAAGTCTGAAAGAGTCACATTTCATTTCAAAAAAGGAAACATCCATGTTTTGGGGCTTAACTTTCAGGGCAACAAGGAAGCTCCTGTTATGACTGAGAATACCTGCTTCAAAAGAAAGAAGCTGCAATTTCAGCACGCCTTTGCCAGGTTCCGTCCCTGACTTCGGGGACCCCAACACACTACTCTAAGTCAAAGCTTGGAAGAGTAGGCCTTCGAACACTGGACTAGGAAAACACCACAGACAGGCCTTGGGTGCGAGAAACTCATGTTCAAATTCCAACTGTGCCAGTTAGGGGTGTGCGTTCGGTATTAACTGAACTGAATAAATGCCTGAAAAATACCTTATTGGCACACCTCTGCCAGTGGAGAAGGCATTATTAAATGACTTCCCTTCACTCCCTGAGTCAGCACGGGCACACCTCTGCCAGTGAAGGGAGAAGGCATTTTTAACTCCAAATAAATTCGGGTTTCCCGATTATTTACCCAAATCAAAATACCATATCAATATTGGGATTTAGGAATATTGGGAAATACCAATATTTTTCAAGTCCAATGGACCTGAATCAGTGTGCACACCGCTAGTACCAGTGTTCATAAGCTACCTGCCAAAAGACAGTATCTAGCACCCAAAGGGTGTGGTTATATACGCAAGATCAAAATAGTGTAGGCTTTGAGGAATGAACACAATACCCATTCCTTGAGATCATACCGTTATCGCCTAGTATCATGTGACAAGTTTAACACCAACTTCATGTATATAGCAACTGCTACATCTTGGCCCAGCCAGCAGCTATCTTTCCAAGGCTCTGTAAGACTCCAGAATGATATTCGACATGCCTTAAATCCACTTGGTACCTTTCCAAAATAAAGCTTTTTTAATGAAATATTTTGCCTTTGCCACTCTTTTAGGGAACATGGCTCCTACCAGCAAGGCCTATCTAGAGCGTAATTAGTGGTTCCTGCATTTCCTTGTCCTTGAAAGGCAGCAAAAATGAACAGGGAAACATGGGTCTTGCACACTTCTCTCCTACACTGAAATTTAATGCCTATTTCTGCCAGTCAGTGACTGAGCTCTATAAAGCACTCTGCAAAGAATACTCAGTTAAGAAGAACAGAGTCAGTGCATCCTCAGATCACGCCACTTATCAGCATCCCTGCTCATCCTCACCCAGCCTGTTTACAGACCTCTATCAGAAAAGTCAACCACTTGCTCCGTTTCAGATCCAGATGAGCGGGTCTGCCGGAGTGGATATTTTTTGGGCGTCACGGGAGCAGGCTGCTGCTGACTGCGGGTTACCCTTCTGGTAGAATAAACAGGTTCTTCTGCTCCAAACGACGGGGGATTACGAACTGGACTGGAATCTAATGGAGGGATCGGGAGGAGAACAAGAGGTTGCATTACAGGAAACTGTACAAGCCCCTAGGAAAGCGACAAGAGCCTATCTGTCCCTACAATATAGCCAGAGTCAGATTTTGAGTCTGAGAGAGCTGACAAGGGTTAAAACAAATGAGCTTTTGAGCTAGCCTGTCTCAGGTTCAAATTTCAGCACAGCCATGAGCTCACTGGATGGTCTTAGACAAGCCACCCTACATATGTAACATAACAGCACTTGAATGTCTCATGAGGCAGTAGTAACAACTGTGGAAATGAAGACTAAAGAGAAGCTCCACATTCAGAGGCTAGTAAGCTCTGAATACCAGTGCTGGAAGGCAAAATCAGGGGAAGGCCTTGGCCTCTAGGCCCTGTTTGCTGGCCCTCCAGGGAAACTGGTTGGCCACTATGTGTAACAGGATGTTGGTCAAGAGGGACCACTGGTCTGACCCAGTAGGGCTCTTCCAGTGTTCCCTCTAAGCTGAGTTAGTGTGAGCTAGCTCACAGTTTTTTAGCCTCCAACTCACACATTTTTGTCTTAGCTCAGGAAGGATGGTGCCAGAGCAAAGGAACGTATGCAGTAGCCGAATTGCTTGCTCACAACTTTAATGCCAGTAGCTCACAGAGTAGAATTTTTGCTCACAGGACTCCACAGCTTAGAGGAAACATTGCTTGTTTCTATTGTTGTCTATTGTTAAGCGCTGAGGTCAGCAGCACAAACGCTACCCCATTCCCAAAACCAGGCACTAAAGGACTGAACTCCAATCTCAAACGCCAGTCTCAAGAACCTTAGGGAACCCAACTGCTAAAACCACTGACTTACAATACTTCCCCAGCTCTGCACCCCATCCCATCCTGCACTGTGAATTCACACTCACACTGCCAATCTGAAAGGAAAACAAAACGCTGCCCTTGCAATGATGTCTATGTGCATTCCACAGTGCCCTGGCAACCTGGATTGGGTTCACAAACCGCTGGCCCTGCATAGCCATGCCTCTTGGTAAACCATCTGGAAATTTGGTAGGCCCTCCAGGAAAGAGAGTACTAGCAATTGATGTGCAGATGGACTGACGAGTTGCACGGCTTCAAGAGTACATCTTTTCACAAAGATAGATGCGGCTAAATCCAGCACATGTCTAATTAAGGCCCTTTCTGCACTGAGGGGTTGGAGCAGAGGTTTCATTAGCTTATGGTGTAGCTTACACCCCTTGCAAAGGGGGCCCCAGAGGAAAACCTTCCAACGCAGCCATAAACCTCATTTCCCAAAAATCAGTTACAAAAGATGCCCCCCAGAATGCTTTGGAAGACCTACCTTGAGAGCTCTGGCTGAGCCTGGCAGAGGAGCGGGTCACCCGGGCTGACTGGCGCGTCATTCCATCACTTTCTGAACTGTCTGTATGTTCTGGATCGGTAGAGAAATCGGAGTCTTCGGTTCCGTCAGAACTGCTGCCTGCATTTCTCTGAAAGTCCAGAGTTCAGATGCATGTCAAGTAAGTTATTTGTTTATCTGAGGCTCCTCACAGAGGTTTGGCGTAAGTAGCAGGTTCAAAGAAAACCATTGTCATAAATGTACGTAAGTACAGCTAACACCGTACCAAAACGGAAAGCCTAACACGCCCATTCTTAACTTGTCACAGAAACATTACCTATAGACCATCATCGGCTGCGGTCACACGGAGCATTAGCCACGCCACAGAGACGGAAGATAGGCGGATTTTCCGGGAGCGATCACACCGCAACATCTGGGAAGCGCAGAGCTCCCGTGGCAAACCCGAGGCTTCCCGCCAAAGATGCGGCGTAAAAAACTAGTACCTCCGAGGTACTAGTTTCCAGAAACCGCGGGGCTAGGGCAGGCGTCTGATCGCGTTTCTGGTGGTGGCATCCGGCGCCCGCCCATGTCCCTTCGCAAACAGTTTTCCCCCCCAAGCCTCCACAAGATGCGCACAAGCACCCAACGGTGCATGCGCACAAAGAGGAAAGCGAAAGTGCCTTTTCAGCTTTAAAAAAAAATAAATGACCCCGTTTGTCACGGCAGCGGCGCCTAGCCATTGCTGGTGTGATCGCGCCGCTTCTTTGCCGTGCTGCAAGATCGTCGTGTGATCACCACCCTCGTTTACCCGCCGGCGCCGAGGGAAGGACCCGTGGTGTGCTGCCGGTGCGTCTGATCGCATAATCGCGGATCAAACTGCACCGGGGCAATTAGCCACGCCTCCCCCCGCAATATCCTGCCCGTGTGACCGAGGCCATCATCAGAGAGGCAAGATAACGCACTGGTGAGAATGGCAGACTAAGCCTGCAGAGACCAGGGTTCAAATCAGCCAGGAAGCTCACTGGATGACCTCAGGCCAGTCACCCTTGCTGAGATGTTGTGAGCACAAAACGGGGATTATGAATGTCAAGCTGAGCTCCCTGGAAAATGGGATAAAAGTGGATAGAGTCGACAAATCATTCCTTACAGGGATGGCTGTAGGGTTTTGTTTGTTTTTTGTATTTAAAGTTGGTCTTGTTCCTGCGTCTTTTACAGCAGTGTGAGGTAACAGAAAATGAACATGGGATGCTTTCCCTGCAATACATAAATACATACCCCAGGAGTTGTGATATGATAAAGTTCAGTTTTTAAAAAGTATAATTGGGATACTACCTTAGAATTTAAGACCTTACTAGCACCTGATATGTAATTGCCACATTGAGCGAAGAATTGAATAACTGCATTACTAGTGAATGGGAAAATGAACATGGGATGCTTTCCCTGGCCAGTAGATCAGTTCTCGGGAAAACATCACTGGCTTAGTTTCTACAAGGCTGCTACTCAGCACACAGGAGCAGCCCCCCTCCCAGCTATTCCTGCCTACCAAACTACAGCTAACCATGAAGCTGGCCATCATGGGAGCCTATCACCTTCACTGTCTTACGGGAACGAAAGCACACTGCTCACCTCCCCTTCCCCTCAAACAGGGTTGAAATTTCAAAGTCCAGAGAACAGAAGCCATTATAGAAAATTGTGCCCAGTGACGAGTATTTCTTAAACCCGAAGGTATACCATTTAGCCTACTCGAAGCCTAAAACAACACTTTGCTTTGTAATGGATCCTGCTTCAAAGGTGGCAACTTGTTCTCTAGTAACTTGGTGGGGTGCGCTGCCCCCGAAAGCTGCCGCCCTCGCTGCCTGCTGCTACCAACGTGCATTTGGCAGTCTCTGATAGAATGGCACTCTCTTCATATCATAGGGATTTTGGGAGGAACTAAAAGATGAACCAGCTGTAAACACCTCTCTCCCCAATCAGCCTACACAATCGGGACCACTGCTTGGTTTCTGGCATAGCTCCTGTGGCTTTAACAAGTGTGTATCAAGCAGGAACCCAATAGATGCAGTGTTTGTAAGCATGGCATGGAATTGCAGTGATAGAGACATCAGTTGAATGTCTGCCTGTATCGAACTGTTGAAGGTTCAGGATCGTTGCCCAAAAAAGGAAGCAATGCTATACACCATCCATGCAACAGACAGAGAGCACGATGCCTCATGCGCATATGGCACCACACATTCAACAGCCACAGCAGGGGCAGATAACAGGTGGTTTGCACAGCAGATGGTTCTAGGAAGACTTAGACAGGAGAGCCAAGCCATAAGGAAAGGCAAACACTTCAATTTGGCTCCCTTTCAGGATCAGGCAAGACACTCCCTTTATGTGGAGGATTTTTTTCACACTACCTCCTTGAACTATAATATTACAGAAAAATAATCCCCTGCTGTGCTTTGGACTGCTTTTTAATCACAATTCCTCCCACTTCTGTTCTCTGTTCTCCCCAGGTTCTGTATCCCGCTTACATAATACTGATAAATGGAGCATAACAGGTGCTGGGGGTGGGGGAGAGGAGAAGCCAGGAGACTCTGCACAGTGGCAGGGGAACAAAGCTCCCATTGATACGGACAGAACACTGTATACAGATGAATCCAAGTACTTCAGTGCTAGAAGCACTTCTAAGCAGACATGAACAAACCAGAGTTTATTCGTGACTAGCGTAAACCCAGTTTATTGCCAGGCCCTTGCACTCTTTTTCTCCTCCATTGGAACAGAGACCATAACTGAAGACTTCCTGGTTTTGGAAGCCCTATGTCATCATGTTTGAATGCAAGTTCGTCAATTAATTTAGAATGTATTTCTTTCCAAGTAACCGAGATTCTAAATCAGGAGTTAGACTGACGACTTCTGAAACTAGAAAACCTATATTTGTGCTCTCAGTTCATGGTGGGAGGAAAGAATGTAATGCGCCCAATGACAAATCAAGAAGAAAAAGAAGAGATTAGATTTATACCTCACCCTTCACTTGGAGTCTCAGAGCAGCTTACCTACTCCTTTTCCTCCCTCTCCCCACAACAGACACCCTGTGAGGTAGGTGGGGCTGAGGGAGCTCTTTTGAGAACTGCTCTTTCAAGGACAGCTCTGACAGAACTATGGCTTCCCCAAGGTCATCCAGCAGCTATAAGTGGAGGACTGGGGAACCACTACACCAAACTGGCTCTCAGGTTCATGCTCAAACCAGAACACAAGAAGCTGTCTTATACTGAATCAGACCACTAGTCCATCAAAGTCAGTAATGTCTACTCAGACTGGCAGCAGTTCTTGGAGTCTCAGCTGAGGTCTTCTACATCACCTGTCACCCAACTTTTTAAAACTGAAGATGCCAGAGATTGAACCTGGGACCTTCTGTGTGGCAACTAAATGCTCTGACACCAAGCCACAGCCCATCCCCTTATTCACAATTGTGTGAGTGCTTCCTGAGACTCTGAGAAAACTTATTTTTTTCCCAAGAACCTTGAACAGAAATACACAGAAATGTGAAGCAAATTAAGGAATTCTGGCTACCTACATACACACATTAAAAAGCCTGTGTGATGTAGCAGGTAAAGTGTCCACCTAGGACAACCCAGGTCCAAATCCCCACTGTGCTATAAAGTTCATCAACTGACCTTCAGGCTACTACGTCTCAGTCTAATCTACCTCAGAGGATTGTTGTGAGGATTAAACAGGGAAGGAGCGCCACAAAGGAACACAAACATGATAGAATTAGGTTTATCAGCAAACTGTATCATGCGTGACACAGTCACAAAAAATCTTGAAGATGCTATGCGCACTTTGTCCAACAGCCTAATATGGCTAGTCCTTTGGCATTTTCACAATGCCCAGAGTCCCCTGACAGGGAATAGGGTTTCCAGGTCACCCTTTTTCACTGGCTGGTGATGGAGGGTGTAGGGTTGCTAAATCCAGGTTGGTAATCTCCTGGGGATTTTGGGGTGGAGCCTGGGGAGGACAGGGACCTCAGTGGGGTACAATGCCACAGAGTCCACCCTCCAAAGCATCCCTTTTCTCCAGGGGGACTGATCTTGGTAGTCTGGAGATGAGCTGTAATTCCAGGAGACCCCCAGGTGCCACCTGGAGGCTGGCATCCATGGCAGGGAACCACTCCAGAAACTAAGCATGCATAGGGCTGCACCAAAGAACACCTTTTATCAAACTTCCTTCTCACATATTTTATTACACGCAGCCCGATTCAAAGATTTACTCAGAGGCAAACCCTACTTCCATTCCACTAAGCATATACATAACTGCAGGCATAATTACTGCACAATGAAAACCTTGAGATTTAAAAAGCAACAAAGGGGGGGGGGATAGATGAAGTAACCCAAACCATCAGAAAACCAATGGGGGAGACCCCGAAGATTTCACCCTTCCTTCTTTTTGCTCGTCCCCCATGGTCTAGTCCATTTTGCCTGCTATGTTTTGAACCTTTTTCCAACATCCACCCTTTACACCAATCGAAACAGCGAGGAGGTAGGCCTTTAGAACGCCTCGCTGTCCAATAAGAAACAGGGAGAAGAAAAGAGACGGGAAGGATTTCAGAGACGCCAATACAGGCCAGAGTTCTCAGCCAATCAGCGCCTACCTCAACACCCGCTCTAAAGGCACACAGCCAAGTATGAAGTCAATGAGGGAAGGAGGAGGAAAAAAACCGCGCCAGTAGGAAATGATAGGGAGGGCAGCCAATGAAAATCCAGCCACAAGTCCAATGAGAAACGAGGAGAGGTGGGTTCCAACGCTAACTGAAGGGGTGGAGGGAAACAAATAACCGTTGAGGGTGGGGGTGCGCGTGACTGACAGCGAAGTTGACCAACGAGGACGCGGCCGGAGGCAGCGGTAGCCATTGGCGTTGCGAGATGAAACGAGGGCTTGAAGGCCTACGTTTTTAACTGGTTTTCGGAGCCTGACGGTCTAATGTGGGTAAAGGAGACGAGAGGGGAAGGGGTTTATTTCGAGCCGCGCTCTCTCACCTTCCTGCGCGACATCCTCGTCGGAGGAGGCGGCGGAGGCAGCGAAGGTTGCTGCGCCCCGGCCGCTGCGTTGGCTCCAGCTGTATCCGTGGTGACTGGCGTGTCTCCGGTTCTCCAGCGCCAGGCTGCGCCGCTTTGTTTTCCCTTCGATTCCAGCTGCGACCTTTCAGTCGACTCCCTCCACTCTTCCGCCGGGACACACGACGGGGATACACACCCCCGTCCTGCCTGTCACGTGACGCAGTCAAACCTCACTTCACGACAGCGGCGCTCCGCCATCTTAGAGTCGGGAATGGCGACTTTGAGAAGGCGATGCTGGGTGAAGCGCAGCGGTCATCTTGGTAGTGGGCAGTTTTCTCATTTGCAGTAGTGAGAGCGGTGGCCATCTTTGATTTGGGCACTTTTTTCCGGTTGTATTTTTAACAGTGGATAGGAGAGCGACCAAGGCTCGATTTAAGAAGTCGCATTTCTAGTTGGGCTTCGTCGGCCATTTTTTATTCGGGCCTCGGAGCATTTCCCAATGGAAGAGCCGTTTTTGGATTGGGCGAGGGAGGCTCGATTCGTTTGTTGATTATGTTTGTATGAGTGTTTGGAATATTGAGGAACCACGAGGCACTGTGTGACTGGTTACTAGAGCTAATTAGTCGTAACCGCGTTCAAAGGGTTTTAGACCATCCGCCATAAAATATTTATTTGCTTTACTACCTCTTCATAAATTAACGTTTGTGAAGAGTACTTCTGAAGGAACACCATAGTTTGTACATGATGTTGCAAGTGAACATCGTCTTATAACAGTCGTTTTAGCGTCTTTTGCAATATTTATGAATTCTTGCAAAATTTAAAAAAAAAATCTGCCAGGGGACTTTTTTCCAGTCGGTCAGCAGGTTTTTAACCTATAGATTTCAGTATAGAATTGTCCTGCAAGGCAGTCTTTTCAGGAACAGGTCCCATCTTGTCCAGTGTGGTTTAATCCCAAAAAGGTGTTAAGATTGCAGCCTGAGTATTGCAGATCGACTAATACCGGATCCTTACCCCCAGCTGTAACATGTAATCAGGTAAATCCCATTGAACAAACTCAGGATCTTCAACCCAGTTTTATGCATATTTGTTTGGAATGAGCACAGAGTTCCACAGGATTTACTCCCAAATAATAATTACAGTTGTGCTCCCCAGAATCAACATATATGTTTGCACTGAACTGAGTCCTTGCTGTGTTCAGTGGGGCCTACTCTCAGGAAAGCATGCATACATTCCTATTTTCTAACTAAATGCTTTTGGAATTAGGCTGCAGAGCAACAGGTCCATGATTTGCCATTCTTAGTACCTTATTTAATTTATAGGTATTTGCAGGATAGAGAAATCATTTTAGAA